TTCCCCCGCCAGCACTGCTTCCCTCCCCCTTCTTCTGGGCTCCTCCCCATCTTCCCCTCCAGCCCCACAGACCCCGATACTCCCCCAACTCTGCTTTCCACCCCTCTTCCAGCCAGCCCTACCCTCTTCCCCTCCCTCCATAGTGCGCTGCACTGCTCCCAGCTGAGCAGCGCTCCTGCCAGGCCCCAGCGGGGGAGCAAGCAGTGGCAAGTGGCCCTTTAGGGTCTACGCTCCCCATGCGTGGGGAGCATGGACCCCAAACAGCCGCTTGCTCCCCTGCCGGGGCCCAGCTGAGCAGCACAGTGCTCAGCCAAACCACCATGGAGAGAGGGGAAGCGGGGGCGGGGCGCTGACATACACGGCCAGGGGGCATGGCCATGTACGTCAGCATTACAGACAATGGGCTACTATATATATATTTTACAATATTTACACCTTATTAATAAGGTTAGCAGAGTCACAAACACCTCAATTTCATAAGACAAGGAATGTACATTCATATTTCCTTACCATAAACTTACATCGTTCCTTCTAGAACACTCTTAGGTGTTAGCCTATCATCTTTCTCATTACCTTCACCTTCCCCATCATCACCAGGGACCATCATTTTGGCCCTTCCGAGAACTACATCTTCTCCTCCCAGTCAACCCTTGGCTGCAGTCCCACTTAAATACCAATTGACTCTGACGATAACATGTTTTATGCATATTCAATAGGGGGGTGTTTCTAATGCTGAAGTGTTCTTTTCCTATTGGTAAATATATATTATTGCTCTTAACTTACTATCGTATACGTCAATTCGTTGCCATGGGTCTTTGTGGTTATTTATTGCAACCTGTGTCATAATTGCTTAATTCAGCCTGAACCAGCTATTTGGGACTTATATTTAATAATACATCTGCTGAGTCTGAGGGTATTGTTCTCGCCATCCTGTGTGGGTGGAAGGTCCAGGATCTAAGTTCCCCCTTTTCAGGCCCATGAAACCATAAACAAGTGATGACCAGTATCCGGGTGAAACAGTGTCACAACCACAGAAGTCTGCAAACCTCAGCTCCTGCTGATCTTGCAAACGGCAAGGAGTTTTTGCGCAAACACAAGCAGTGTAGCCATGGCCGTTTTGCGCAAAACCACTTTTTACACTAAAAGGAAATGTCCACACTGCTTGTTTTTGTGTAAAAACACCTTGTGCAAAAATGACTCAGAATAGATTATGCAAATGAAATGTGACAAAATGCTAATCAACACTTCATTTGCATTGCCCCGTCTGCCAAAAGCCGTAGTGTAAACAAAGCCTATGGGTATTTTCTGCTGCCACAGAAAGTTCTACCTTTTCCCAGGGCACAGAGGAGGAGGAGCATAAATAGCTGTAATTCTCCCTGTTGCTGAGGTAATGGGCATGTTAGAAATGGGGCTAAGGCACTGAGAGAAGAGCTCTCCCATGTGCTAGTGGTGTGACACTCAGAGGAAGGAAACTTCACACACTCCCCAACCACCAGTTCCTGATTAGCCTGGGTGCAGGGGAGTGTGCAAAGTCTCTTCACCCCCCATCTCTGCCCTGCCAGGGACTTGTGGTGCCTGCAGGGAACCACCAGCTGTTTTGACAGCTGGGGGATCCCTCTGGTGTGGCACACTCCTGACGGGGTGGAGGAAGAGACTTCACACGCTCCCTGCTTTACAGGTCTAAATTGGCTTGGGGGTAGGGAAGCAGGTGGGTGGCCACAGGTTGGATCCGGTCCACAGACCCCATCTTGCCTACCCCTGCATTAGATCACCCCCTCTCAAGCTAGGATGAGACCCAGGAGTCCTGTCTCCCAGGCCCATACAAAATAACCTTCCCCCCATGCAGCCCACTTTCAGTTTCTTATTAGATAAGACTGCAACTTCCCCTGTTGTTTCCTGTTAATTGCAGGGGTGTTATTTGGGAGACAGGGGTAATAAACATATGTTAGATGCCTGTTGCAAGAGGAACAGCACTGAGCTGAAACACCCTGACAAAGAAGCGGCAGAAAAAACAGTGTCACTCAGCAAACTTCTGCTAGATGAGAAGAGGATAAAGTTGGTGCTGTTTCCTTGCCTGGCAGGAGAAGGCAGTGGCCACAATGAGGGTGCAGTTTATCACCTCCCTTGTAGGTAAGTTTGCAAGGAATTGGGTTATTTTCTTTTTGTGCTGACTGTTCATTTGGCCCCAGCTAACGCAGGTGGGAGCCTGCCCAAACACTAACAGCACGGAGGCAGGGGATGCCCCAGGAGTACTATTCTGACTGGGGGGGTTTTGTGTCCATTAGGCCTGGAACAGTCAAGCTGTGCAAGCTGGGGCAACTAGAAACAGCGGGAGGCTCAGAGGAATGGATGGCCAGTGTTGGCCCTCTGCTGAAACTCAGTGAGGGTTTGGGCTGGCTGACCTCCCGTACCAAAAGGAGGGGGAAGGGCCCATGAGAAATCAGGACCCTGAGACTGACAGTACCCAGGAGCAATGGGGAGAGAACAACGCTCCTGGTCAGCCTGTTTTACAAGCCGGGCAGGTTAATGAAGGGGTCAGGGCACCAGGGGTCTTGTCCACTGGATGAACTGGATTTGCCTGGGTCAGGTAGAGTGGGGCTAAACTCAGGAGTGAGCAGGGGTCTGAGCAGGTGTGGGGGAGCAGAGCCGGGTCAGCCAGAGAAGCAGCCGAGAGAGCAAATCAGTGTTGGGGCAGAGCTGCAGACACAGAACCAGAGGGGCCAGAGAAGCAACCCCAGGAACTGGAGGCATCACAGCAGAGAATGGAGAGTGGGGGGGGCTCTGGGTAAAGGATCCAGCCACGGGAGATGCCACAGCCAAGTTGCCTCACAGGCCAGACTTGGAGGGGGAGTGTAACCCTGACTGGGGGGCTACTGCTGGGGAGAAAAGCCCTGTCCCCCCCAGAGCCTGAAGGCTTGTGGCCACTGCCAGAACAAGCAACCAAACTGGAGGATTGGGCCAAAAGAAATCTGATGAGGTTCAAAAAGGACAAGTGCAGGGCCCTGCCCTTGGGACAGAGGAATCCCAAGCATGGCTACAGGCTGGGCTCCCACTGGCTACGCAGCTGTTTGGCAGAAAAGGCCCTGGGGGCTACAGTGGATGAGAAAAGTCAAGAGTGGGCCCATGTAGCCAAGAAACCAGGAATCCCCCTCTGTATAGTTAGAAAGCCAAAGAGGAGCCTTTAGGAAGGTCACTGGGCCACGGCGGCTGCTTCCCCAGCAGTGCAAAGAGCTCCAGAGCTCCAGAGCCAGCAGGGTGAGGAGATGGGCTGCCTGGAGCACCCTCACTACTAGACCCATACCAGCCTCCTCCTCTTATCCCGCAGGCTGGGGCCCACTGAACAGTTTGAATGACCCTGGAAGAAGATGACAGAGAGCTTTTGGGTCTGGTGCTGGTGAAAGGTGCTTGGGACTATAAGCAAAGAAGCTCTCCCCAGGTTTTGGTCCCTCCTGCATTTGGAGAGGCAGGATTGTAACTAAACCCGACCAGATCAAAGGAAACACCAGATCCCATCATCAGTTTCTGCTCCCAATTAGTACAAACCCAGGGCTCAGAGCTTTGAGTAGCCACTTGAGCCGAAAAGGGGAAACCACAATTTTAACTGAGATAGGATCTTTGAGAAGTCATGGGGTTTGTCAGTGACGTGACTTCAGCCCAATGGTGACCTGTCACATAAGTGCAGATTTGATGAGTGATCTAGACACACAAAGAGTCATTAGCGAGACAGTTTACAGAAGCCACACAGATTGGGGAAGAGGACATAAGGGACAGGACAGGGCATGGACACAGAGAGATCTGGATCCCACAGGAGTGAATCAAACAATACGCATTTCAGTGGGACTAAACCTCTGGATGTACGTCTAGGAACACTGGTGTTGACTGTGGTCACTGCATGGGGGGCTGCATCCTGAGAAGCAAAGATCTGGGGGATCACAGTGGGCAACCCAGACGGCATGAGCTTCCAGTGTGACCTTGTGATCAAAGGGGCAAATGCCATCCCGGGGAGCACAGGCAGGGGAATATCAAGTAGGAGCAGGGAGGCCATTTTACCTCAGCATTTGTCACTGGTGCGACCCCTGCTGGAATCCTGTGTCCAGTGGTGGGGCCCATAATTCAGGAAGGGTGAAAAAATTGGAGAGGGGTCAGAACTATCACGAGAATGAGTAATGGGGTGGAACACAAAGGCTAAGGAAATATTCCAGGAGCTCCATCTATTTAACCCAACATAAGAACAACCATACTGGCCCATTCTCATCCTCTGTCAAACCTCAGAGGCTACAGACACCATCCCGGCTAATAGTCATTGATGAACCTGTCCTCCATGAATGTATCTAGCTCTTTTTGGAATACTGTTAAAATTCTGGTCTTCACAACATCTTGTGGCAAGGAGTTCCACAGGCTGATTGTGCATTGTGTGAAGAAATACTTTTGTTTGTTTAAACCAGCTACCTATTAATTTCATTTGGCGACCTCTAGTTCTTGAGTTATAGGAAGGAGTAATTACTTCTTTATTCACTTTTTTCACACCAGTCATGATTTTATAGACCTCTATCATATTCCCACTTAGGGTGCATCTACACTGCAGGGCTTAACACGAAATAAGCTACGCAAATTAAGCTTCATCAATTGTATACCTTATTTCAAAATAGGAAGCGTCTACACAGCACTTATTTCGAAACAGAGCACTCTTTCTCCGAATTCCCTTACTCCTCATACAATGTGGGTTACAGGAGTTGGAGTAAGAAGTCCTCCATCTTGACAGTATTTTGATGTTATTTCGAAATAACTGCCGGCTGTGTAGACATGGACTAAGTTATTTCGGAATAGTACTAGTTATTTCAAAATAGTGTTGCAGTGTAGAGCACCCTTAGTTGTCCCTTTTCCAAGCTGAAAAGTTCCAGTTTTATTAATCTCTCCTCAGGTGGCAGCTGTTCCATACCCCAAATTTTCTGAACTTTTTCCAGTGCCAAGATATCTTTCTTTTTTGAGATGAGGTTACATATCTACACACGGTATTCAAGAAGTGGGCAAATCACGGCAGTAAGATATTCTTTGTCTTATTCTCTATCCCTTAATGATTCTCAAAGCTTAACAAAAGGAAGACTAAAGGGTGCTATTGAGCTAAGTCTATAACCACTTACATGGGGTATGTCTACACTACCCCGCTAGTTCGAACTAGCGGGGTAGTGTAGACATACCCATACAGATTAACTTCAAACTTAAACCACAAAGGATTAGGAAAACAGCCAGTCCACTTCTCACTGAGGAGAGCAGAACAAAATGTCTGGAGTTGCTATGCAACACCATTTTCCAGATGCGGCAAAAAACATGGAGTTTTTTTTTTAAAGATCCTTGACCTCTCTGCCAGGGCTGGCTCTAGATTTTTTGCTGCCCCAAGCAAAAAAATGTTTGGCCGCCCCCTCCCCCTTTTTTGTTAGCTTTTACACGTTTGCACTTTGCAATGTTTTGTTTTGTTATTTGACTGTTAAAAATTAAAAAAAAAAAATGAAAACAGAAAATGTGCAGTTAGTGAACTAAAA